CCAGTGTGCCTAATGCATGACATTTCCTGAGTATTAATTTTCAAAGCATATTCACATTTTACGAAGAGTAAAAATAAATTAATAATCACTGGATCAAAGGAGGTGCAAGGCACTATGATAGCATTACCATGGTGTGTGTGGTGTGTCCCAGTAACATGTTTCATTTCAGTCTGCAAAGAAGTTGTAAATGGTAATCTGACCCTTGGTACAAGCAACATCGTTTAGTACATTAATAATAAATTCATGGAGTCAGAGAAGCCAGCAGTAAACAGAGGAGAGCTTCACAGAAACTGTTTACCCATCTGTCAAGCTAAGACTTGGGAGAAGTTAACTAAAATCACACACTGCTGTTTTGCTTCAGTGTACTGATATGGACTGGGGACTGAATAAAGGCTGATATGCCATGACAGCCCCTTTGCGCTGTTTGTGGCATTCACAGATTTGCTGTAGGCAATGCTTTGTTTTGCACAGGAATGCTTCACTTTTTTGTCTCTACATCTGAAATGAGGTATGAATATACTCTGATTTTTCCTAGAAGATGCGCATGTGTGTCTATATGCACACATCTGTGTTTAAGACAGACCATACAAATGCACCAGGGCATACACACAAAATATGAAATTTGACAATAAAGCATACGACATTAAAAAATAACAGACATAATTGCTCAAAACCCTGTAAAATACCTTTTTCTGTGGTGCTTTTAAAGAATATGCTTCACATTTAATTGAATCTGGGTACAGACCTCCAAGTTTCAGGATTGCATAAAGACTCCTGCCAAGTGGGAGAGACCTCTGAGCTCATTACATTGTATGGCCCTGTTTTCTTCATCTACACTATAAAATTATTTGCTTGTGGCAGCAGCAGTGTTAAACTGACAGGAATATCATCATCCCAGTTATTTGCATGCTTCTCTTCCTACTGGCAAGAGAAGTCCAGGAGAACAGAAGCTAGGATAATGATGAGCAGCTTGCTGAGAATCTCAGTAAAAACAAGGTCAGAAAGCAAAGGAGAGAAAGTATCTAGAGAAAGAGAGCAATAATTCCCATGTACCTCAGCCATCCCATAAATTCACCAAAAATGAAGCTTGTGAACAACTTCAATTATTTGAGAGCTCAGCTAGAGTTAAAACAAAGAAAGAAATATAAGTTGAAATGCTTAGAAAAAGGAACAGAAAGTTAGTTTTAGTTTGAAGGACACATTTTGGTGGGTTTGAAGCTGCTTCTTCCCTTCCATTTTTTCAGTTAAACCACTGTAAAAACATATTATTTGCATAGGTTTACTAAAGGAAAGTGAGGAAGATGTGAAGCAGAAGAAAAGTATTTGCTTAAAAAACATGCTCTGAGCAAGCACACATATTCCATTCATCTCATTAGTAAAAATAATATCTAATCTTCCATGTTTGTATTGTCATGTCTTTGTCCTCAGGCTAGTATTAGTTACACACAAAAATTAAAAAAAGA